CACCTGGGAGGGGTGAAAAATACACCTGGACAGATAAAAATACACCTGGAGGGGTGAAAAATACACCTGGGAGGGGAAAAAATACACCTGAGAGTAAAAAAATACACCTGAGATACACCTGGAGAGGTCTGGGATACACCTGGAGGGAAAAAAACACACCTGGAGGGGGGGAAAATACACCTGGGATACACCTGAGAGGGGAAAAATACACCTGAGAGACACCTGGGGACACCTGGGAGACACCTGGAGGGGGTAAAATACACCTGGGACACATAAAATACACCTGGAGGGTCATAAAATACACCTGGAGGGTCATAAAATACACCTGAGGACACCTGGGACTCATAAAATACACCTGGGATACACCTGGGAGTGAAAAAACACACCTAAGATACACCTGGGAACACCTGGGACTCATAAAATACACCTGAGATACACCTGGAGGGAAAAAAACACACCTGGAGGGACTAAAAACACATCTGGGGACACCTAAAATACACCTGGGATACACCTGGGAGTGATAAAATACACCTGGAGGGGGGAAAATACACCTGGGATACACCTGAGAGGGGAAAAATACACCTGAGAGACACCTGGGGACACCTGGGAGGGGAAAAAATACACCTGGGATACACTTGGGAGTGATAAAATACACCTGGACACACCTGGGATACACCTGAGATACACCTGGAGGGGATAAAATACACCTGGGGTACACCTGAGGGGGTAAAAATACACCTGAGATACACCTGGGATACACCTGGGATACACCTGAGAGTGATAAAATACATCTGGAGGGGGGAAAATACACCTGAGATACACCTGGGAACCATAAAATACACCTGGAGAGGGTAAAAACACACCTGGAGGGGGGGAAAATACACCTGGAGGGGGAAAATATACACCTGAGATACACCTGGGACTCATAAAAGACGCCTGAGATACACCTGGAGGGGTAAAAATACACCTGGAGGGGGGAAAAATGCACCTGGGAGTAAAAAAATACACCTGAGGTACACCTGGGGTACACCTGGAGGGGTCTGGGGTACACCTGGGACACATAAAATACACCTGAGAGTTAAAAAATACACCTGAGATACACCTGGAGGAGTCTGGGATACACCTGGGGATACCTGGGAGTGATAAAATGCATCTGGAGGGGATAAAATACACCTGGAGAGGAGGAAATATACACCTGAGAATGATGAAATACATCTGGGGTACACCTGGAGGGGTCTGGGTTACACCTGAGATACACCTGAGAGCCATAAAATACACCTGGAGAGGGAAAAAATGCACCTGGAGGGGGGGGAAATACACCTGGGATACACCTGGGGACACCTGGGAGGGGTGAAAATACACCTGAGAGTCATAAAATACACCTGGGACACATAAAATACACCTGGGAGGGGAAAAAATACACCTGAGAGTCGTAAAATACACCTGAGATACACCTGGGGACACCTGGGAGTAATAAAATACACCTGGGATACACCTGGAGGGGTGAAATTACACCTGGGACACGTAAAATACACCTGGGAGGGGATAAAAACACACCTGGAGGGGGTAAAAACACACCTGAGAGTGAAAAAATACACCTGAGATACACCTGGACAGGAGGAAAATACACCTGGAGAGGGTAAAAATACACCTGAGACACATAAAATACACCTGAGATAACACCTGGAGTGAAAAAATACACCTGGGTACAATTTGAGTCATTTTTCGGTGAATTTAGATGGATTTTGGGGGCAATTTTCTCAATTTTTGACCTAAAATCTCCGTTTTTTTTAGATTTTTTAATTTTATTTTTATTTCTTTTAAATTTTTTTTTAATTTTTTATTTTACCTGTCCCCAGGAGATAAAAGTGAAGATTTTGGGGACTTTTTGGGTGGATTTTGGGGCGATTTCCTCCATTTTTGACCTAAAATCTCCGTTCTTTTTCTAATTTTTTTTCAATTTTTTAATTTCTTTTTAATTTTTTTTAATTTTTATATAATTTTTTAATAATTTTTTAATTTCCTGTCCCCCCAGGGTCAGTGTCAGTGGCGGCAGCCGCCGGGGCGGGAGATTTATCGCAAAGGGAACATTTCTGTCTACGAGGTGGATGGGAAAGACCACAAGGTAC